GGGGGGGGGATGCTGGTGTGGAGCTGCAGAGGATGCTGAGCTCTCCTGCCGGTGCTCCAGCTTCAGAGCAGGGCTGGCCAGCCTTATAGGCAGCAAATGGCTTTGCACCAGAGAAAAACAGCTTGGCAAAAGGCACACGTTGCCCTGACAGCTGAGCCCTGCTGCCCCGCCACCTCGCTTTGCTTGGGGGTGCACCAGGCTGTGCATCCAGCACCCGCAGCCCAGATGCCCAGGACAGCCCCGGTGAGACGCAGAGCCAGGTTCAGCTTCTTTTTCTTCCTGACTCAAGATATTTTTCAATCTGACAGAGAAAATCTTGGTCGATTCTTGCTCATAAAAGCCAGGGAGGGATGAAGGCGCTGTGCAGACGAGGCAGCAGTGGCAGGCAGGGGAGGATTTCTGCCTGGCAGCTCAGAGCCAGAGCATGGCACATGGGAAGCAAAGCACCGGGGCACAGCTCCCTGCCCAACTCTTCGCATCTCAGAAGGTGCCTCCGTGTTCTCAGCTCAGCCTTATGGTCTGGTATTCTGGTTCCTTCACCCCTTTCCCAGGCCAAGGATCGTCAGCTTGCAGGGCACCAGGTGCTGAAATACTCCTGCTCCTGCAGGAGCAGTGCCAGCCCCCAGCACCTCGCTTGTGACAGTGGAAGGTACGGGGCTGGCGGGGGAGCAGGGCAGCTGGGTGGGTGTGAGAGAGCTCCGTCCCAGCTGCTTGCAGTTGGTGTGTCAGGCTGACTCAGAGCATCAGTGGGCACAGCTTTCCCCACCTTGTGCGCTTTTGGCTGCCACAACAGCCTGTGGCAGAGGGTTTCGCAGCTGAGCAGTGCCTGGTGAAGGCAAGGGCTTCCTCCTCTTTGTTTTGGACTTGTTCTCACTGTGATTTCACTGTTCCCATTTTGATGCCAGCTCTCCCTCCACCTGCCGCTCCAGCTCCCAGACCTTTATCATCTCCCTTCAGCTTTTCCAAGCTTACGTGACCTGGACATCTGATCTTTCCCGATCTTTCCTCACCATGCCTCCAAACTCTACTCCCAAGCATCCTTAAGGCCTTTCTGCATACTCCTTTATTCCTGTTACATCCTTTTTGAGAAAAAAGAACTGCACATAATACTCCAGAGGAGAATCTATTTAGTTGTTCTCTCTTCCTTTCCTAATCACATATTACGCTTGCTGTTCTGACTCTCACCCAGCATCGCTAAAGAGGGGGTCAGCGTTTTGCATGGCTAGGGCTGCTTTTCTGTGGGTTGTTGCTTTGCCTCTATCAATACTGAGTTTCATCTGCCAGTTTACCAGCCTGAAGTTTAATACTGTGAGCTCCTGCTCAGCAGCCAGCTTTACATTTGGTGACCCCAAGTCTTTTAACCAGTTGTTTTCTCCCTGCAAGGTGAATGTCTCTCCAGTCCATTGGGCATGCAGGGGCTTTTGGAGAGGTGCTGAGGCAAAACCGTTTTGGAAGTGCCACTGCCCCATGACCGACGCATCACTCTGCTCCCCACACTTAGTGACCTGGCTGATTTGCGAGGCATGGCTTCCTCTTGCAAGGCGGTGTTGAGTCTTCCCCAAAGGCTGTATTGACCCAGACTGTTATAGATGACTTCTCCCAAAATTGCCTGTGACATCCCCTGAGCCCCGCTGGCTATGGCTCGTATCGCCTTCCCCATGCTCTGCCCCAGGCTGGCAGGAGGGGCAGTGTACCGACCCCGGCTGGGCTGGCATCACCTCGTCCTGGACACATGCCACTCCGCAGCTCCTTGCTCTGCTGGAAGACGTCTCCGGCAGGCCCCTGCCGTGGGACAAGCCCTCTGGCACAGCCCTGCAGGAAGACTGCCGCGGGGGCACTGCCTGAGCATGCTCCCTGATCTTCAAACCACCCCTCAGCTTTTCTGCTGAGGCTTTGCCTTCCCTGGGTGCTCTGTTCGTGCCTCCATCATCCACGACCTGCACTGCCTCGCTGGCTGGTTTCCTGCTCCTGGCACGTATGTAAACGTGCTTATTTTCAGCTTTTAATACCTTTAGCAAGGTGTATATAGATATATATATAGATATATATATATAGCAAGGTGCTTTCACCCAAACTTTTCCCCAAACTTTTAAATCATCTTTATTGTGACTTTACTTTTAACTTGCCAGGGTTTTGCTCTTTTCTGTTTCTCACATTACAGCACCAAGTCCACTTTTGAAGGTTCTCTCCGCCACTAGCTGCCTCGTTAGCTTCTCCCTACAACAGCTGGGCTGCTTTTAGGCCCTTCTTGGGTCACCGAGAGGGCTGGAGGCTGCACAAGCCTCGACTGCTGCTCAGAGTTGCACTAGCAGAACAGGGCAGCTGGCCCTGGGGGAGCCCTCCTCCCCCACAAACACCCGGCCACCCCCTGACTTTTGCCCCGCGTACAGTAGAGGCTCTTTCACCCCCCGCCGCACACACAGGCTCTTCTTTCCTTCCTGTGACAAAGTTGAACCCGAAACAAAGATTTTCTCCAGCGCTGCCGGCAGCCAGTTTGACTCCTTGAAGTAATCGCTGTAATTGACCCTTGCAGGCGCTGAGCGCCGAGGGAGCGAGGCGGTTCATCAGGCTGACGGGGTGTGAAAACCATCAACTCTTTGGCTGGGCTGGCTCCAGCCCGTCAGGCTGTGCCGGGCTGCCGGCGAGACCCACAGCTGTCCTCACTCCGCGACCCCCACTCCCGGTTCGGTGGGGGGGGGCTGGATGGGTCCCCCAGGGTGCAGGTGGGGCGGAGGTGAGCGGTGCCCTCGTCCTCACCAGGCATCCCCATGGCACGTGGGGAGCGGGGCTGGAGCACCTTCACAGATAGCCTGCTTTCACCCAAAACCTGCCATGTTTGGGTCAGCAGCTCCCTGGACCCCTGGGACGTGGGGACAGACCCAGCTGAGCGCTGCGGCTCTGCACTACCGGCAGCATCATGGTGTGGGGTGGCATTGCTGTGCACCATCCCTCCAGTGCAACCCACATCCCAGTCCAGGGTCACTGCCATTCACCATCCAGGGTATGGAGCCTGTAAGTAGCTTTTCCTTAGGCATGGGACATCTTCAAGGCATAGAGCTGATGTCAGAGGTGACAAGCGCGACACATACCCGGTGATAAACCCCGCAGGGCTGGCTGCTCCTCGCCTCTGCCTCCAGCGCCTCCTCCGCAGGCTCACAGCAAGGAGCAAGCTTGTGCTTCTGCGCGAGCGGTGGTGAACAAGGCCATGGAGATGCGGCACAGGGGACACCCGTCCCTCGCCAGCCCACGCCAGCTCATCCCTCTCACATGTGGCTCAGGCTCCAGCAAGCGATGAGGTTATTTTCTGGCTGCTGCCGCTCCTGCTGAGAGCTGCTCCAGACCCTCCTGGTCCCAGTGATCATTTCAGCCCCATTTGTCTTCCCAGCAGTTTTGTCGTTCCCTTCTGCAGTTTTCTTCCTCTGACTCAGCCGCACGCGTGTAGCAAGCACGTTGTCTGGCCGCCCGCCCTCGTAGGCAGCCCCAGGGGACCGGGCAGCAGCTCCCGGCCCCACGCTGGCCTCCGCATCTCACTTTCTCGGCTGGGGAAACACACTTTGCAAGCAAATGCTCCCTTATTGTGTCCAAGTCACTGGTGAAAGAAGACCAGAGTCATCAGTGTCCTCCCTCAGCCCTCCAAGCACAACTGGCTGCCGTCCCTCGCTCCTGTCCCTCCCCGTGCTGCAGCTCCTGGGCTGAATTCTCACTCCTCCTTTTCCAAGAGCATCTTCCCATGGCATGGCCAGCGCTGCCACGCATCGCAGGGGGCAGCAATCAACTAGCGTTGCCAAGTCTAAAAATGGTGTCTTAAAAAAGCAGATCTCAGATTAGCATGACAGAACTCTCTAGCCCTGTCTGCCCTTCAATCTTATTTTCCATTTACACCTCCTCCTTTAACTACCTTTCTTCCAAAAGGCATTGAACACATTGCACACAAGTGAGAGTAATTCAAGGGACTGGCACACTGTGGGCTGGGATTTCATGGGATTATGGCTTCCTCCCTCCCTGTATCTCCCAGAGACACAAGATTTGGGATCCCTGGCTGATACGTGACTGTGGGAAGGCTGCAGGAGGAAGGCTCCAGGTGGGACCTGCCTTTGCTGACCTGCGAGTGCATCTCCTCCCAGGACAGCACCAGCAAACCTAGTTAGCGGAGCCAGCCCGGGGACTTTGATGCCTGCTTTCCCCTGCTGCAAGCAGCCTTTGCTCATGGCTGTTATCCTTGTGTAGATGCCCAAGGCGGAGGTCACGGACCTCTGCAAACCTCTGTGTGTCCCAGATTCCTGTGTCAGCAGCGGTCGGCTGTGGTGCCATCTTTGGTACCCAGCATCCAAAGGCAGATGCGTGCGTGCTTCCCCTGGCTGCCAACCGCTGGGGAAAGGCTGTCGTGCACCAAGGGTGCTGGGCCGGTCTTCTGCTGTGACTCCCGGACAGATCTGCTCTCCCCGTCCTCCAGAGGCCGTTTGCTTTATGATCTGTGAACATCAGGAAGAAATGAAATAGCAGTGGAGAATTCCCTTCAGCAAAGCTTTGATGGTGAAAAATGTGCTGTTGGGTTGTCTGTTCCACAGAATTCAGGAAAAAAAAAAAGATGAAGAAAAGAAGGAGGAAGGAAAGAGAGAAACCATCTGCTTTTTTCAGAAGTTCCTCATCCACACACTATATCGCCGCTGCTCGGAAAGGCCTTTTCTCCTCTCCCTTCCACTCCTGTGCAATCAGATAGTCCCCAAACTGCCCCTGGGTTAATTGAAACCAGAAGCCGCTGTCACTTCCAAGTGTTATGAGCACAGGGACCACGAGGAGCTCAGGTGTTTTGGAAAGGATGATGTCAGTAGGGTCTGCGATGAAAGGCTCGCTGACAGCCTGCAAGGCGATGCCGCGGGAACGGCCGCAGGTAGGGGCTCAGCCCTCCGTGGGTACCGCCAGCTCCGCTCCATCAGCCCCGCACCACCAGGTACTGTGACCAGGGCCGCCCCGCGGCAGCTGCGGCAAGGCTGGACGCGAGCTCAGGAACTTTGCCCCATCCGCTCCCTGCACTCACCCCCATGCTGTTACTTTTAGGGCAAAAATAGTTTAGATTTTTGTAAAGAAAAAAAGCCCAGAGTGAAAAGAGGTTCCGGAGCCCTTCCCGGCAGGGGACAGCCGGTGACAGTGTGTGCCCAGCCTCCCTTCAAAGTGCGAGTAGCTAATCTTGTCTCAATAAAACCAGCATCGTGTCAGGGTAATCAGCAGACGTCAACACTTTAATGGCACTGGCAGAGCCCCAGCGAGGTCCAGGGGTTATCCTGGCTGCATCGTATTCCCACGGGAAAGGTAGATAGCAAGCTCCCTCCTTCAGGTACACATCCGATGGCTGTCAGGTGCCGTGGGGCACGCGTAGCGCTGCCGGCACCTCTGTTGCAGCTCTGTCTGGGTTATTAATGGGCTCTCTGCTGCCTGCAGCCATCTCTCCTGGGCGTCCCGCCTGCCCACACCGGGAGGGGACAGGAGGGGACGGGACGAGACGCCTCGCTCGCCAGCAGGCAGTGTAAATCTCAGCTTCCCAGGCGGGGCAGCTCCGTAAACCGCAGCAGTTTCAGCACCGGGTTTATACGCCTATATGTACAATAGGCAAATTGACAGATGACGCTGTATACACAGATTGTGTAAACTGCTGTCAGGTGCTGCCAGCAGTTTCAGCACCGGGTTTATACGCCTATATGTACAATAGGCAAATTGACAGATGACACTGTATACACAGATTGTGTAAACTGCTGTCAGGTGCTGCGCGGGTGCCCGAGCCTCTCTGCGGGGATGGAAGGGAGACAGGGGGGACCTGCCGGTGACACAGCCCGTGGTGAGCCCGGCGCGCTCCCACGTACCCGTCCCCTCGGCCTCAAGGGTAGGCCCGATGGAGAGCGAGGGAGGGGGGTGCGTTGATTTAAGATGTGAGAAGGTCAAAAGTTTTCTTGAGCACAGTTGCTATCACGACGCTGAACACTTCATCCCCCTTTTTATCTGCCCCAGTATTTATTGTCCATGAGCAAATACTTGTGTTTTTATAAATTCCTTTAGAGTGAATCACCCTTCTCCTGTTTAAACCAGCAAAGACCACATCAAACAGTATCACTCCATCTAGAATTAATCATTAATTTGAAGTATTTGACAATATTTTGCCAGCATTATTTCTTCCTCTCCCCGATTAATAAAGGTTAAGCCTCGGTACCGGCACTTTTGCAGGACACTTGGTGCACAGTGGTGTCGCCGGGAGCTCACCAGCCCCAAACCCGCCCTGGGCAGCGCAGGCACAGATGTGCAGGTCTGGACCCGGCTTTCAGGCAGGTGGAAGCAGCCTCGCTGCTGCCTGCACGCGGTGTGGAGCGGGCAGCTGAGCCACCACGCTGCCCGGTGCGGCCCCGGGACCCTCCATCCCGCAGCCGGGGAGCTAACGCACACAGGGGCTGGTGTCAGAAGCCTTTTCTCTCACGGGGAAGTACAGAAAGACTGGTCTGGTCTAGAGGATTGTAGAAGGGGATGGAGCCTTCCTCTGCCTGCTCTCACCGCACCCTCCGTGAGCACAGTTTCAAATCAGGCCAAAATCTGATCTCAGATGGTTGCATGTGGCTTCTATTCACTTGAGACAGAATCCAGCCTTTAAACGCCACATTTTGTACTTTGGTTTTGTTTTATGTCTCAGACATGTGTTTTGCTAGGACACTGCATTTCATTTTAAAATTATTTTTGACAAGGCCTTATGGTTCATGAATTCCTGCACGCCAGGTCCTGCAACACTCATCCCAGATCTGCTGGCCTCTTCTGAGGCACCACATCGGGGTGGTTTTCCTTCCCGCTCACAAACAAGCCATGAAATGACCTTGATTTTTCCAGTGTCTTTGTGGCAGGGCATTTTCTCAACACTTTTATGCCAATCTATTGCAGCCCTTGGATGGTTTCCAATCCAGCTTGCTTGGATGCTTTGCTATTTAGAGAGCGTGGCTGGTTGCTTAAGTCATGTGGCATCGCTTCTTGCTTTCGAACAGATGGGTAAAATGTATAAACACACAACAGCACATGATGAAGGCAGAATATAGCCTGCTGTCCCCAAATAACACACCGGAGACAGAAAGATGAGGCATGGTAAGCCAGCCATGCTGACACCACCCAGGCAGGCTGAATGAACTCCAGGTCTTTGGCATTTCATAAGCACATTTGGCTATTAATCTGGTACTTAAGGGAGTTAAATACGGGCAGGCTTGGGACCTTTTGGCACAGTTTCCGCATTGCAACACTCCGCGAGGTCCCCTCCAGCTCCTCTTGCTGAAACAAACTGTTCTCCAGGTGCCTACAGCAGACACGCTCCAAATCCACAGGTGCCTTCGGCTCTGAGGAGAAAGCAGGGACAAGCTCCTGGGCATGCAGCACAAGCAGCCTCTTCTAGCTCCTTCCTCGTCCTCTCCTGCCTGTGGCATCCAGGGTGCTTATGTCACAGGGGACAGGGAATTCACCACCGTGTGCTGCACTCCTGGCTGCTGCTTGTTCTGCTCAGGAGTGTGATGGAGACGGTGCCGGGCAAGGCATGAGCATTATTTTCTTGCCTCTCTCCAGCAGCAGGATTGGAAAGGCTGGCTCGGCTATCGTAAAGCCAGTGGCAAGGGTTGCTGCTTGCCTCAGAGGAAATCACCTGCCAAGCTCTCCCCGGATTTACACCAGAAGAATGCCATTTTATTGTGGGGCAGCAGCAGAGAGAGCAGGACAAAGCGCTCCATGGACTGGGCCACTGTAACATCCCTGCAGCGAGCACCCCTGCCCACTCTGGCTGCTGGCATTTCTTCACCGGGTTTATCACTGTATCAGCCATGTGAATACACCTTTTTTATGGCATGAGCCTTTCAGTGGACTTCTGAAAGACAGTGATGTGCCTTTGAAGGTTTGGCTGATCCTGTTTCCTGTATGCTCCTGAGCCTTGTATACATTTAAATTTGACTTGTTAACTCTGTAAGGATACTTCAGACTTGTATTGTACTGAAATTGGCTGGGATCTCAGTATCTCACTTATTCCCACGTACTTTTTTCTTAGACATGCTTTGTAGTCACGTTATTGCTGTTGGGAGGTTTGGCTTTAACAGCCTCCAATAAAGATATGAGCCTGCGAAAGGGCACCCGTAGCCCAAGATTATTTGAGAGGAGCAACCAAAGTGCAGGTGCCTGCTGTTTGCAGGGCCTCTTATTCAGGGCAGTAGCAGCCAGCCCTGGCTCCAGCAGCCAGCGTGGCAGCGGGCAGGCAGCAGTCAGGGCTCCTCACACCCTGCAGAACGGGACCTGCCAGCGACGGGCACAAAGTCCCACAGCCTCCAAAGTCCTGCAGCCTCCTGCAGAGCGAGCAGAGGCTGTTGGGCATGCACGGACAGCGGTGGGCTGCAAAAACCCCCTTTGCTGGGTTTATTTGCTGCTGCTTCTGTTTGCAGCCTTGCACAGAGCCGAGGCCTCGCTGGTGCTCAGGCCGTGGCACTAACACCTACCTCCCTTTTGTCGCCAGAAGTACTCCCTGCTCACCTCCTCGGGTCCTGCCTGTGTTTTTCACAGCCCCGCAGTCATCCTGCCGCCAGCTAACACTGATGTGAAGCCTCCCAGCCCACCACAGACGTCCCCAATTTTTGTCTCTATATTCTCTCTTTGCATTTTGTAGTATTAAAAAATCACACCTGCGTGAACCTACGTTTGCTACTCTGCTCTCTATGTTGCTCCTGGAAGATTCCTGCCTTCCCCTGTGCTCCCAGGCAGCCTGAACGCATTTCTAAGGCAGCTGATGAAAACACTTCCCTTCGTTGCAGGGGAGGAAGGACAAGGCCCTTGAAATCTCATTTCAGGACATTTCATCATTTGGATTACATGTGAAAAAAAATGTCATTTCATATGACATTCCAGATTACTTATCAAATAATGATCTGCCTCTTAATGCCGAGACTACTGGAATCTGTGCAAATTAAATGTTGTACTTGCAAATGTATTTATTCATTATGCTTAGCAATTAACTCATGATTTAAGTAATTGAGCTGTAAATTATCCCCTTGTTTATAAAATAACAACATCCTCTGAGGGATAATGTTTTCTATTACTGCAATTAGTAACACATCAATTCTTGCCTAGCATGTAAAAGATCTCCACCTTTTCTCCTCTCCTATTAGCTAATACGAGAAAAACTCTTCTCCAGCGTGATCTCCAGCACCAGGGCATGCACACAGCTCTGGACTGGCACACGTGCGGCCGTGCGTAACCAAAGCAAATGGAGAATGCACAGGAGTTTTCCCAAAATCCCACCCCTTGCTAATGCATGTCAGTGGCCAAGGGGCTAATGGAGGGACTTGGCTGCAAATCAGCAAGAGAAGGAAGGAAAATAAGGGAGAAAACCAGTCCATCCTAGCACACACCCTGCTCTGCTGTCAAAATGTGTAAACTGAGGATTCCAAATCACCACCTCCCACGTCAGGTCTGACCGCCCTGGGCAGAAAAATAAATAAAAATCCACCGTCCCTGTGTTCCCGTGGCACACCGCCCCAGATCACCTCACCTACCGCCGCAGCTTAACCCTGGCGTAATTCAGGCGGCTCAGCGGGACTGCCGCAGGCAGGAGGCAGGGCAGGATCTGGCTGCCCGGAGAGGCGGCAGGGACGATGCTGAGGGTGCACTGCCACACAGCTTAGCACCATGCCCTGCTGCTCTACCCGCGTGTATGAAGACATGTGTCTTCCTAAGGTCACTAATCCTAATATCATCCTGATATTCTTGGTATAGCTAAAGGACTAATTTTAGCTCTGCTATCACCTTGAATAATGAATATTGATTTTAGGAATGCAGCATTCAAATTATATATACATTAAAATATCAGTGAGATTGGCTAATTCTCTCCATAATGCT